TTTGTCTGTTTGGATCAGAATTCTACTAAAGTATCTATTTCTGTTATATGTATCTGATGTTAGTCTGGCATCCATTTTCATTTTCAGCCCTTGATCTTAAGTTGATAAATTCGGTCCAATAAAGAGTTTATATTGTTCAGTGATTTTTCATTATTATATTCTTGAATAGATTAATAAATAGAATACAAGAAGAGCATGGAAAGATTTAATATGATTGATAAAAGGCCTAAATGTGCTTTTTAAATAAAAATCTTATTTGACAAATTTTATCTTTCCTTGTCACTGCCAAGATATCATATCAAAGTATATCCTTTTTTCTTTCTTCTATAGTGTGACACGATACTTAAAAGACACAGCTGTTCAGCACAAATGACTTGAAAACAGGCAAATACTAAATGTGCATGCTACCAAATAAAAAAGATAAATAAGTACCTGGCAGACTTTAAAAAACTGCTTTATTTGATATATTTCTCTGGTTTAGTGTCTGGGGGGTGCACTTGGGTATACTTGTTAGATGGTGTAGAATTTCTCCAGTGAAGCAGCAAATTTTCAAGATCATCACAGGTCAGTGCTAAGAGTTCTTTCGACTGTGTTTCACAGGTGACCTTCACAAATCAAAATGAAGAGAGTTTTATCTTTTCCGCATAAAATTACATACACATCTAAACTAAAACCCTAAAAAGCACCAAGGTCTATGAAAACAATCCACATGTTTCTTCAAAGAGTATAAAAAAGAAAACAGACACACAGAAACTAAGAAACGACAACAACACAACAGCAACAACAAATAGCTTTTATTGTATGTCTACACTGGGCCAGCCTTTGTGGAAAGCCTTAATCATTCAAATGCTCACAAAAATTTTTTAAAGTGTATTATTTTTCCCACCTCACAGAGGATTATACAGACTCTGAGAAGTTAAATAATTTGTCCAGGATTACACAACAATTGGTGAAACCCACAATCATATGTTTGTTGGGCTCACGTAAAAAGTCAAGTAAGCTCTTTATCTTAAGCAGTTCTACAGTACTGGAATTTCTTAACTTTTCTAACCTTGCAGCTTTGTCTGGTAAAACCTCTACCCTCATCTAATTTTCCAGGGTACATAGTAGAGCAATTATTTAGGCTTTTTACAGCCATATGGTGTCAAGTAGGACCACGATTTCCTTCTACAAGGCATTTTACAACACATGTTATGAGAAAGATTGTAAAGCTATGCTCATCTACAGGAAGATTGTGAGACACATAGAATATTATTTTTTTGACGGGAAAGAGGATAGGGTGAGATGGTGAGATAAAAGTGAATATTTATTAACCTACTATTTTTTATTTCATATGATCTAATAAAATATAAATTAATAGCAAAAAAATTTAAAACAAAATGCACATTTGCTTGTAAGAACTTTTAGTAACTTTAATTTTCTATCACAATACCAAAAGAGACATTTTTCTTCATATAGTGGGGAGAAATTTGAGTTTTACAATTGAGTTCTAGGTTTCCCTTCCTCTTCAACAGGAACAAAACCATTAAAAATTTAGAATGATAAAGTCCAACTTTCCTTAAAAAAAGTAATAAAAATAAATGGCATGATGAAAGTGTTATTAGAGGTGACAAGATGTATTGTAAATGCCAGCTGATATCTTTTCTCTGCATTTAGCAATTTTCAGCCCAATGAGGCTGACGCGGTAAAAGGAGTTTTGTACATAAAATATGCACAACAGGGTGCATGTATCCAAGGCTCTCCTCCAGGAGCGTAGAAGCACTTTGCTCTTGTGCCTAGTATTAGTCATGATGGCACAGTCTTCAAGATGTGAAACCACTTTCTTTGTCAATAAATGCTGCCACATCAAAGGAGGATGGACTTTAAGAAGCATTCTCCTTAATTAGCTGTCTGAGAAGTTGATGTAAAGAGTCTACTACTTGTTTATGACTTTATAAAACTCCAGAAGAGGCCCGACACAGTCACACAAGTCTGTAATCCCAGCACTTTGGAAGGCCGAGGCGAGAGGACTGCCTGAGCACAGGGGTTCGAGACCAGTCTGGGCAACTTGATGAGACCTCGTCTCTACAATAAATCAAAAAAATTAGCTGGACGTGGTACCCTGTAGTTCTGGTTACTTGGAAGACTGAGGCGGAAGGATCACCTGAGCCTAGCAGGTCTACGCTGGGATGGCTATGAGCAAGCCACTGCACTCCAACCTGGGTGATGGAATGAGACTCCAACTCAAAAACAAAACAAAACAAAAAACTTCAGAAGAAGGATCAAGACCAATCAGGTCATCATTAGATGACAACTAGTAGAAGCTTATCACTTTTTCTCCTCTAATACAAGATCATTCACAGAATAATTTGGGAGATCGTTTCTTTTACTATTTTCTTTTCAAAGATACTGAGTTAAGGACATTCTGAATTGCTAGAACTAATCAAAAGTAGAAAGATTTCTTTTTAATTCTGTACTTTTTTGGGGGGAAAAATGTAAAGAACAGATTAGGGTACAATAAGAGTAAATCAAAAGCACAATGTTTTCAAATATATATACATATATAAATACATACATATATACATATATATATATATCTTCTCAGGGAGAGATTGGCAAACTGAAAAATGAAATAATATTTGGTGAGGATGATATTGTAAGTGAAGAGATCCATTATCCGTTAAAGATTCCAAGTTCTATAAAGACCTGCTCATAGAAACACATTCTCTATACCTATGTATTCATTCACAACCTATTTTTAATATTTCAGTAAGTTACACTGACGTTCTTCTTCACAATGACTATTTCAGTTCAAACCCACCGCCAGGAATAAGAGAAGCACTTTTACGTATTTTTACTATTTAAGTAAGCATAAAGAAAAAAAAATGTCCTCTATATTAAGGTAGCCAAATCCATTGCTCTTGATGTTTTGGGGGGTAAACTTATCAAATTCACAAAGAAAATTCTCCTAGAACTAATGAAATTAGCTTACCTTTGAATTCTCACCCCAACTTTGAATAGTCACTAATTCCTTTCTTTGCTCTTTTGGCGTTTGCAAAGGGGTTCACTAAAGCCTGAATTGATATAATTATTGGCTCAGACTGTTAGACTTCTGGGCCAGATGGCTATGGATTTCTAAAGTTCCACTTGCTTGTGGTAGTTTTCCTAGTTTGCCTATAGGGTTTGGGGCTCAGCAATTTGAAAGGGCTACAAACTTGTAAAACAGTATTATTCATGGGGACAGAATGTTCATCGGCGTGACCCAGTACTAAATACATTCATTATAGGCATTTCTATTCTGCACAATTTGCCACACAGCACTGGTTTCAGGAGGGGGAAAAAAAGACAATGGCTTATAAAACGCTTTTGAATGCCTAAAAAGAAGGAGAGTTCACGCTGAGACTCTTCTGCTTTCTTTTTTGGAAAGAACCTTCTTAGTGACTTTAGCTGAGCTCTGCTGAGAGTAAGCAAAGTGGAAAAATCAGAAAATTACTTTTTTTTATATGTTTCTGGGGGGCAAAACTGAGAGTGGGAGAAAATAAATGGAAAAAAGTGACAGTGAGATTATGTGAAACAGCAAATATGCAAGCGAATGAAGACAGCTAAGGAATAATGCAAAAGGTAAGAGGAGAAAAAAAGGCAGCAAGAATGGAGTCATGATGATAAACTTAAAAGGAATTGCAGAGCAGAAAGAACATCATAAATAATCATATTTCCAAATAAGAATACCATATCAGTCTCTGTGACCTGGATAGAGCACAAGTCTCCCAAGATATTTCTTAGCCTTTTGATGCACACAAAATGCAATTTTCAGCTCAGGCATTTTATTTGTCAATGTAAACACGCTTTGGGTTTTTAAAATACATATCTGAAAGTGTTTTCGTAAATAATGCATAAAATATAAAAATTTGACTTGTCAACTATTGAGTCCACGTCCCCCCAGTATTCCTGGTGAAGACCCATCATGTATAGATTGCAGCTTCTGGTAGAAATCGACAGGCTAAAGCGTGCGGTGTCTTCTACCCAAGATAAATAGGGGTGTTTTTTTTTTTTGAAGTAGAGGATAAAGAGATATCATAGACTGCTTTGCCCAAACTCAAGGAAATGAGCGATAGGAGGTAGAACTGTGTTGTTAATTAGTTCCGAATTCTGAGGTGCCCCCTGAAATCTGGCTAATTAAGAGAAACCGAGAGTGCAAGATAGCCCCTTTCTTATCTTCAAAGAATAAAGATGAAAGAAAACAGAAAATGAAACCTCTTTTCCTCGCTCTGTTCTTTAGAAACGGAGCCCCAAGAAAATCGGCTGGAGCTGCTGGGAGGGGAGGGGGGCGAGAGAGAGGGAGAGAGGGAGAGAGGGAGGGAGAGAGAGAGAGAGAGAGAGAGAGAGAGAGAGAGAGAGACCCGAGCTGCTGGGAGGGGAGGGGGGCGAGAGAGAGGGAGAGAGGGAGAGAGGGAGGGAGAGAGAGAGAGAGAGAGAGAGAGAGAGACCCTAA